AGCACAGTCTCACAGAGGCCCCTGATATTCTCTATAGACAGGAGACAGGAACCTGAAGATGGGAATGATAGAACAGAACAAAGTGCTGAGCGCTGGTACTTGTGAACATGACTTTGTTTGGAAATAGGGTCTTTGCAGATATGATTAAGATAGAACAAAGGAGCTTGAATCTGAATAAAAGGGTACATGGTGGTAAGCCCAAGGCCAGCAAGTAAGAGTTCGTGAGTCAAAGTGTGACTGATGAATCTCATTTTCATGGACATTCAGTCAATAACTGTTTATTAAGCACCTTCTATGTGCCAGGCACTGCTCTAGGCACTGGAATTAGAGTCCACCCTCACTCCCAGGTAGGGTTATGGGACTACCTGTCCAGCAGGACTTCAGAATTGCTAGCTTTCCCTTCCCAGATGGAAAGTATGTGCTGTGTATCCCTGATGAGCCACACTAGATTGGACATGGAAGGAGGCAGATAATTTGAGGCTTTGGTTCTATGGGCTTGCCACTGAGATCCTCACATTACCCCTGACACAGAGATAATTCCACATCACTCAGGTATCCTGACTTTACTCCTTGATGCTATAACAGGTAGGACTTTGGGGGCCATCTCTCTGAGGGAGTGGTGACTGCATTTTGCATGAAGAAAGGAGAATGAGCTGAGTTTCTGGTGACTTCATGGATGGATTCTGACAGTGATTGGCGTTTTCCACCTAATATTTTCAGCTTTTCTTCCTCAGGGCTCATGGAAGCATGCCACTTTCCTGTGTCCTCTGAAGTTAGGCGGGCAGCATGACAGGCCATGGCCAGTGGGAAGTGAATGATAGTGACTTCAGCGACCGTGAGCAGAATTGAATCCCCCACTGACCTGTACATAGCATGAGCAAGTAATAAACGTTTACTGCATAAAGACATTGAAGGGATGTTTGTTGTTACAGCATAACCTATCTTAGCCTGCCCTAACCGAATCATAACTTCAGAGGAGGGAGGAAATTCCTTTGACAATGAAATTCAAGATTTTTTTTAGCTCCTATCAAGGCAATAGTCTTGAAAGCTATGTTTGGCAACAACAAAAAGAATATTTTATAAATTCTTTAAACTCTAACTATGTGTTGAGATTTGTATCTGAAATCTACTATGGTCACTATAGGTCATCCCAGAAAAGAAAAAGCTAAAGGAGTTCATCACCACCAAAACAGTATTATAAGAAATGTTAAAGGGACTTCTAAGTAGAAGAAAAAAAAGATTAAAAATATGAATAATACAATGGCAATAACTGCATACCTATCAATAATTACTTTAAATGTAAATGGTAAATGCGCCAATAAAAAGACAGAGGGTGATTGAACAGAGAAAAAAATAAGACCCATACATATTCTGCCTCCAAAAGACCCACTTCATATCAAATGATACACATTGACTGAAAGTAAAAGGATGAGAAAAGATATTTCATGCAAAAGAAATTTCTTAAAAAGCTGGGTTAGCAATACTTTTATCAGACAAAACAGACTTTAAAACAAGGCATATAACAAGAGACAAAGTAGGATGTTCCATATACAATAACCAAGATATGGAAACTACCTAAGTATCCATTAATAGATGACTAGATAAGGAAGGTGTGGTACATATACATGATAGAAAATTACTTGGCTATAAAAAAGAATGAAATCTTACCATTTGCAACAACATGGATGGACCTAGAAGGTAACATGGAAGTGAAATAAGTCAGAGAAAGAGAAATACCATACGATTTCACTTGTATGTGGAATCTAAAGAACAAAATAAACCGTGAAAACAGAAGCAAACTTGTGTGTACAGAGAACCAACGGATGGTTCAGAGGGAAGGGTATTAGAAGCTAAGGGTTAGGGAGATGAAGGGATTAAGACATACACATTGGCAGTTACAAATGGTCGTGGGGCTGTAAATTACAGCACAGGGAATACAGTCAATAATGTCGTAATAACTGTGTGTGCTGTCAGATGGGTATTAGACTTATCAGGGCAACTATTTTGTAAGTTATATAAACGTCTAACCCTAACCAACCACTATGCTGTATGCCCGGAACTAATATAATATTGAATGTCAACTGAGTTAAAAAATAAAAATAATTAAATTAAAATGTTACTATATGTCAGAGAGCTGAGGTTATGATAATGATAAGAACAAATGTAGTAATAATAATAATAATAGTCACCACCAGTTTTTTACTATATACTAGCCCTGTGCTAGATACTTGATGAATACTAACTCTTAATCCTTATAGCAAGTCTATGAGATAGATAACATTATTACCTCCAGGGACCTGAGGCACAGAGAGGTTAAGTAACTTGCCCAAGGTCACACATCTGGTAAGTGATGGAACCAGAATTCAAATTTTGGCTCCAGATTCAGGGATTAGGGTAAGGAAGGCAATGCGTGTCATGCAAGCACAGGCTCAGGTTCAGTCTTTTATTTTAAACATTTTGGGTGAGGGTGGTCAAAAGGTACAAACTTCTAGTTGTAAAATAAATAAATCATGGGATGCAATAAACAGCACAGTGACTATAGTTAATAGTACCTTATTGCATATTTGAAAGTTGCTAAGAGACTAGCTCCTAAATGTTCTCATCACAAGAAAAAATTCATTAAAAAAAAGAACCCCCCCACTCCCCTCCCCACACACAAAGCTCTGTTTTGACATTTTGTTCATCCTGCATGTCTTTGGGCAATAATTTTCTGACTTTTAAAAATATTACACTAGAGCCCTGGCTGGTGTAGCACAGTTGGTTGGAGCATTGTTCTGTAGACTGAAAGGTTGAAGGTTTGATTCCCTGTCAGAGCATATACCCAGGTTGTAGGTTCCATCCCTTGTCAGGGCGCATTGAGAGGCAACCAATCCATGTTTCTCTCTCACATCGATGTTTCTCTCTCTCTAGCTTCCTCTCTCTCTAAAATCAGTAAGGGTTTTATCCTTGGGTGAGGACAAAAAAATAAATAAATTAAAAAATTAAAGAATAGCCCTGGCTGGTGTGGCTCAGTGGATTGAGTGCTGACCTGAGAACCAGCAGGTCACCAGTTCAATTCCCAGTCAGGGCACTTGCCTGGGTTGCAAGCCAGATCCCCAGTAGGGGGCATGTGAGAGGCAACCACACATTGATGTTCTCTCCCTCCCTTTCTCTCTCCCTTTCCCTCTCTCTAAAAATAAATAAATAAAATCTTTTAAAAAATAAATAAAAATTTAAAAATATCACACTAGAATATTATTTAACTTGACCACTGAGTTCACGGGGGCCCCCTCGCTTTTGCAACTGTCTCACTCTCCTCCCCCTGCTAGGCTTGATGGCTTTAGAATATAGTCTTTTAACCTCTGAGTCATACAAGCCCTTACCATAGAGAAATGGGGGAAATCCCAACTTTTCCAGTCCTAGAGAGGGGACAGGGATGGGGAAAGGGAAATCAGTGCTAAGAGAGGATGTCCTGATGCCCCCTCTCTGAGCTGAAAGCCAAAAAGTTAAGGGAGAGGGGCTGTAGCCAAGGGGCCTTTGTTTCCTTCCTGTTCAGATCTCTGCAAAGGAGAACACCAAGAGGCATAGCCCTCTGGCAAGTTGGGAACATCCACAACAAAGGGACAGCAAAGGGGCAGCCAGTTTGTAGAACTAGGACGCCCTCATTTCCCAGGGGTGTAGGTGGGTGTGGATGGTTCCGAGTACCCCAAGAGCAGGGCAGAAGACAGCCAAAAATAAGACCGATGGGCGTATTTTGGCTTCCCTTAGGAGGAAGGTAATCTTACTTTCTGTTTCCAGACTGCTCCCTGGGGCCTTCTCCCCTCAGTTCCTTTGCCTACACTGTGCCCAGACCCCTCTAACTTCTCATGAGTAGTCAAGAGACTTAGCTGACAAGGGGCAGAAAGCTCACCAGTCCCTTCTCTGCAGCCTTGTGCATGAAGGCACAGCCAGCTCTGGTTTCAGAACCTCCTCCCTTAGCAGGATCCACAGTCCAGAGAACAATCGATCGATGGAGACCTCCCCAGTGACACTAACCCTGTACTCCAAAGCAGTGGGAAAACCCAGGCTCTGGTTACTGAGGCACATGTGTGACAAAGAAGACACCTGCTGGGTTTTTAGCCAGAAACCTAAGCCCTCATCATAATAAGTGGTTTTGTGGGGGGAGGGTTCTCCTTGTTATTACAGATCACATCACACTGAATTTTTACATGTGTGTACCTGTGTTTGTGCCTCATGCAAGTGCCCTTGAATTATGCAAGTAAAAGAGCTGGGTAGAAGGGGATATGTATTTTGGTATCTTGATTGATTTTCCCAAACTGTACTTCCAAATGTTCAGATCCATTTCAAATCCTAGCCTCCAATTCTCTTCCAGTTCTCTAAATAGGAATGAGATGGTGTTCCAAAGCAATTATATTGCTTTTAATAACCTGGCTGCCAATATTTGCTTTGTATTCCTAGAGGGTATTAGTTGCTTTTTAATGGCTTAACTTCGAAGTAATTTAAATTTTAAGGCGATTAGTCTTGGCTAACAGTGGCTCTTTTTTTAGCTTCTGTTGGCAGAAGCAATCCTTGGCTTGTAGATGCATCTCTCTAACCTGTTACATGCCCATCTTCCTCTGTCTCAGTGTGTCCTCTCCTTTTCTTATAAAGACATCAGTCTTTGGCCCTGGCCAGTGTGGCTCAGTTGATGAGAGTGTCATCCTATAAACCAAGGGGTCATGGGTTCGATTCCCAGACAGGGCATGTTCTGTGCAGGAGAGAACCAATCCCTCTCTTACTTTCCCCCCTCCCCCTCCCTCCCTCTCTCTCTCTCTCCCCACTTTCCTCTCTCTCTGAAGAAAGAAAAAAAAAAGACACCAGTCATTAGATTAAGGGCCCACCCTAATTCAGTGGGTCTTCATCTTGGCCTAATTACATCTGCAAAGACCCTATTGCTAAATGAGGTCGCACACAAAAGATAGGCACAAATTGGAGCAGTGGGGTGGGGGTGGGGGGGAGACGTTATTCAACCCACTGCAACCATGAAAAACAGGTTGACTCCAAGGACCAAGGGCAAGGGAGAACTGAAGGTCAATGTGGGACGTTCATAAGATCAGGTCAGTAAGAAACCATTCATCTGCTTCTACTCTCTTCTTTGGGCAGGTGAGCCATGTGGTCCCACCAGGTGTGGCCTCACTACCGGCCAGGAGGCTGAGAAGATGGAGGGGAGCATGTGCATGTTTGGGGGAACCCTTCCACCACCCCAACGTACCTGGGTGCCTGCTATGCCCCAGTGACCAGCCCACAGTCTTGTCTGTAGCAGATGCCCCAGTGAAAATTTGTTGAATGAATGCATTAATGAATTAGTAAGTGAGTACCCGGAAGGTGAGCATTAGGAAAGGGATTGGAAGGCTGAGAGACAGGCAACTCCTTGGCCCAAGGGACCTTCAGATTTAGCGGAAATTTCCCTGCCCTGGAACAACTCAAGTCCTGCCCCTTACCAGGGGCATCCCCGCTGTGGGGCGTGTTGTCTCAGGCCTTCAGCGGTTAAGCGCCACCGCTGAAGTTCATTTCCTGATTAACCTCCGTGCGCGCTTGCTCTAGCTGGTCTACGGGCTCAAAGCCATGCAGCACCGGCAGAGGATCATGAGGACCAGGGCGGAGGATGGCTCCGCCTGCGCGGTGCGTCTGCCCTGGGCGCTCATTCTGAAAGTTGCTTTGCTGCTGCTTTTATTTGGCTTGCCGGTGTACGCCATCGTCTCCTGCCAGCTCTGCACCCAGCAGCTCTACCTTGAGCCGACTGGGGTAAGTCGGGAATGAAAGAGATGCACACCTGTCATCTGCTGGAGGGCTTGGGGACCTCCGGGTGGGCCCCGTCCTGGCGGGATGCAGAGGGGAGGTGGCCAACCAGGAAGAGAATCGGGGCAGAAGGACCAGAGGGAGCGCAGACTGACAGAAAGGCAGGTTAAAAACAACAAAAGACAAAACTGGAATGATGGCTGAAAATCAGCCAGGAAGAGGTCGGGTGAGGATGGGACAGCAAGGAGGGAGGTAAGGCAGCGGCAAGGCTGCCCCGGGATCTGGGCTTGGGGATAGTCCTGTCAGGAGGTAAATCCCGGGTGGGGATCCCGGGGTGGATGGCTGCATCTGGGAAAGGTGCAACGGACGTGGCGCGGACCGTGAATGACTCAGTGACTCGGCTTGGTGTTCCCCAGCAGGCTGACTCAGAGGCTGCTGGGGGCTTCACAAAGCAGGGAGGCAGGGTTGTGGGGGTGGGGGGACAAGGACTGGAGGAACGCATCGGCTCACCTTAGAGCCCAGGATCCCCCCAGCCCCAAACACACACAGGGATCGCTTCTGGGGGCTGGGCAAGGGGCTTTGCAGTGGACAGAGGTAGGGCAAGTGCATCCCACCCCCTCTCCACCTTATGTCCAGGAAAGTTCTTTAAGGTTTTTTCTTATGCTCCCAGCTAGTTCAAACATACTTCCTCTTTGAGAGGTTTTTTCTTTTTTCTTTTTTAATTCGCAAGTCAGCCCCTTAGGATAAAGAGTGAGCACTGGAAAGAGAGTTCTGATTCCCTTGTTCTCTCATTTCTTCCAGGGGGACATAGCAGAGCTCCATCTGAACCACACAGGTGACGCCGGTAAGCAGGATAAAGTGTGTGTGTGTCACCTTTGTGTGTGCGTGAGAGAGAGACAGAGAGCGAGCGAGCGAAAAAAAGAAAAACTGAAAGAGGAAATAGGGAAGAAAGAAAGACCAAGAGAAACGGAGAGAGAGAAAATAGGGGCGGGAAAATAGAGAAAGAGAGAGACTGAGTGAAAGAGACAGGGACAGCGTGGTTCTCCCGGGTGTGTGCTGCCTTACTCTTTCCCTCAGTCCTTCACATTTTATCTTCTGCCTTGAGAGAGCCAAAAATTAATAAAACCCACTAAGCATTGCTGACATTCCTTCACTTTTTCCACAAATATCAGCTGAGCACCTACTGTGAGTCAGGTACTGTTCTGGGTAGCAAAATAGGGAAGAGGACAGACAAAAAGCCCTGCCTGCCCAACTTTCTTCTTCTGCGGGGACAATAAATAAAGGAACAGGAAAAGTATGCGGCGTGCTAAGTAAAGCACATAGAGAATTTGTTGCAGAAAAATAAAGTCGGGGGCATTGGTGTCAGCGTGCCAGGGTTGGGTTCGCTGTGGAAAGGGAGGTGACCCTGAGATCGGAGCAAAGATGCGAGGAGGGTGAGGGCAGTGAATCACTGGGGGTCTCCTCCCACCTTGAGGGTTAGGTTACAACATAAATACTTGGGACATTTCCTCTGTAGCCGTCAGTTTTCCTAAACCTGCATCCTTCCACCCCCCAACCCTCTGTCCCAGGACCACGGCAGGACCCCAGACTGCACTGGCAGGGAGGCCCAGCACTGGGTCGGTCCTTCCTGCATGGACCGCAGCTGGACAACGGGCAGCTGCGTGTGCAGCGTGACGGGATCTATAGGTTGCACATCCAGGTGACACTAACCAACTGCTCCTCCTCATCAGAGAACATTGTGTCACGCAGGGCTGTTCTGACTGTGGGCATCTGCTCCCCGGCCACCCGGAGCATTAGCCTGCTGCGTCTGAACTTCCACCTCAGCTGCACCGTTGCATCCCAGCGCCTGACTCCTTTGTCCCAAGGGGACACTCTTTGCACCAACCTCACCCTGCCTCTGCAGCCATCCCCAAATGCTGATGAGACGTTTTTTGGGGTTCAGTGGGTGCACTCCTGATTGTTGCACTTTCTAGCAGAGATTTTTTGGGGGAGAGGTTTTCTCCCTTTTTTTCCGTTTTACTACTATTTAACACACTATTAAATGTTATTTTTAATAAAATATATGTATATATTTGGTTGCATGGCTCTTTCTTTCCTTAGAATAAACCCTACACTCTAAGGCCTCTTCATTGTCATTTTACAGATGGGTTGTGCCCCACTGCTCAGGAAACAAGCCCAGACATGCCTGAGCTTTCTTTAGCCTGAGACGTTGTCTCGATTCTCAGGCTCAAGCGTAGGCTGAAAACACGCACATGAAACCTGTACACATACCATTCACATACAAAGAGCCCCCATGTACATATTGATAAGCCCCTGGGGAGACTCCAGTGCTATCATGTTGGATGATTGACCAAGGTCAGTTTTTATCGGGTTTGGGAGGAAATCGGGGAGGATTGTTTTAAACAAAAAGTTTATGGTAGGAGAAAAGAGTGGCAGCTTCTCATTGATTGCAGGTGGCAGTTTGGTTCTTAAATGAACTGTAAGAACATGGTCTTTCTTCCTGCTATGCAAATAGAAATAAGTGGTTATTTTCACATTTCTCCCTTCTTATCAAGAGCTTTCTCTGAAAATAATCATTGATCAGTGTCTGGTTGTTTATGTACTTAGTAATTTTTCTTTCATTTTCTTTTCAGTTTTATTTTTATTTTTATTTATTTATTTTTTGTCTATCTGTGTCCCTCAAAGCCAGGAAGGACCTTTCCCAAGAATCATGTCCCACAAGAAGAGGGCAGAGGGTGATTGGAAACCGTAAAGGCCACATGTGAGCGACAGGAAGGTAGAAGAAGGGGTTCTCATGCATTTTCTAGTCTAAGTTTATATTTTGTCTAGGTTTAACATTGGAAATAATATCAAAGCCCTGGACTATCATCACTCTATTTTTGCATCTTATCTTTGGAGTCTAAACAGGTAATAAGTACAAAATTTTTAAATGATTATACAAAATAAAATTAAAAGCAATATGATAAATCCCATTTGTATGATGATTCTAAACCAAGACCTGAAGGTTGCCAACTCAACAAATCAAAGGACTATGGAGAGTCAGGTGAAATTTGTTGTAACTGTTCACTGATAAACAGAATTGACTATTCATTCCACCACCAAAAAGAATTCATTGGAGTGGGAGATTTGCAATCTAGTGTGTGCACACACACAATGAGCCATGTGCAGCACACACTGAAGTGGTCAAAGATGGAGAGATACTTAGAGAAAGGAGAAGTTCAGGAAGTTCAGTGACAACCACAGCTCTGTTGTGAGCACAGAGTTCTTCCTATAAGGTTTTCCACATATCACAGAGTGGGAGAACTCCTCTCCTAAGCCCTAGCTCCTCCCACAGACTCTCCTGATTGATGATGTCCAGCTTCAAGTCTCTGTCATAATTTTTATCATTACCAACAAGCTTGTCTTCAATTTTATGTAGTTGAGTTTCTGCTACCCCAGAGGACTATATCCAAGTGTAACAGGTAGTGTTTGCATACAACCCCTTGCTCAGCAAGCAAATAATCAAGAGCTATTCTGCTGTCTAAACACACTTTGGCTAAGGAATCAAGTGATCGTTATTGAGCAACCATTGCCTTGGCAGTGGAATCAGCAATGTTTCCTAATGTCAGAGAGAGAGAGAGAGAGATTTCTGAGCATCTGTTCATCGGTACAGGAGGGAACAATACCTTTCCCAGAGAGAAAGAGATAGAATCAAGTCTTTCCTGAGAGTTCTCTTTTGTGACTATGAAGATTTAGTGGGGAGACCCAATGGGAGGCCTTGGATGTGTTAATGAAGTGAATATAAAATATTAAGTACAGAAGATCACATTGTCTTTTTGTTGTCAGCAGAAATGGGGCTCTTTCACAAGGTCACAAGAAAAACACTTCAGGAGACTATACATGAGAGGTTGAGGTTTCGAGGTAAAATTCATTGTAGAAGCAAAATCCAAGGACTGCCCCAGGGTTCCCTGTGTCCCATCTCCATCCATCCTGCCATGGAAAAAAATCTAGTCTTCATCAAACCCAATACAAAGGCCAGGGTCCAAAAGTTCTGTGCCATTATTTCAGTCCAGTCCAGTCCCTGTCACTATCTAGCTAGCTTAGTCTGTATTTCCAGCTACATTCTTGGTAGCTGTGCCCAGGCCCTCACTTGGAGCCTGTGAGACCAGGCCGCAGGCCCCAGGAGGCTGGTAGGGTCACATAGCTGCTATGGAGAGAAAATGCATGAGTGCATTATCAAGCAAGAGAGAGAGAGAAAGACAGAAAGAGCTTTGCTAAGCTTGGGTTATATTATCTTGAGCTTGGGAAAGACTGGGCGCTTCTTTAAACTAATCAATCAATTTCCCAAGTGGGCTCATGTTGGGCCCACCCCCTAAACAATCTATTTCATAGATCTTTCCAGGTTCTGTGTCCCTTTTCCAATCCAATTCTTTACCCAGCCTAGACTGACAGGCCTCTATGGTCTCCATCTTAGTTCTTACTGCACCTGCCTCATAATAGAAGCATCTCCCTTTGCGTCAGTTTGACTTCTACTGGGCATGCCCCCAGCAGAGGAATTCCTGTTTTATTTTTCTGTCTTGCTCCCCACCCCTGCCCAAGTAATCTGCGGGAAACAGACTGGTGGTTTGCTGGGGAGCATGTGAAGTTGTAACTTCCTAGTGAAGCAGGCCCAATATTGGATTTAGCCTCTCAGTTTATTAGGCTTATTAGTGTCTGATCCCTCTTGTTCCCTTCCTTTAATAATATTTACCTGACTATGCTAATATACTCCACCCCTGCCACCCTCCCCCTGCCCAAGAATCTAGGGTCTTGCAATCTTACAAGGGTAAATGGATAAAAGTCTCATCTTCTATAGTTTTTTCTTGCTGTCAAAGGTGTAGTTCTTCGTATTCCCAGGCCCAGAGTTTCTTCCTATCTGCCAAAGGGAGAGAGGAGTAAAAGAGTAGGCACCCTTCACTCAAGGGAGAGGAATTTTGCAAAGTCCACATCAGTCTGGTGCCGTCCTTGGGAGGCAGCATATGCAGGATCTAGAGGATAGCATTTCTGGACAAGGTAACATCCTTGTTGTGTTCTATAGGTGACAAATTTGACAAGAAGGTTAAAAATGCATAGTCCAGAAATGAGGTGAATTATAGCAACTAAAGGACTGGTGAGAGGCAAACATAAGGTGATCAAGGGAGGGACTAACTTTGCAGTGTCCCAGATTAGGCTGGAAGAGGGGATTCACTGGAAGGTGAATCATATCAGCCCGAAGCCCTACTGTTTACTGTACTTAATTCATATGAGGCTGATGGGAACACTCTAAAATTTTCCCCCTGAAGAATGTTGCGCCTTTTATGTCTGAACCATGTGGACAGAAAAGCAAAAGCAGTCTCAAGTGAAGTCAATAGGCTGCTCCACACTTCACCAATTCAACCACCTAGTCCTGACAAATCAAGCCAGCCAGATCATTGAGTCTCGTTTTCGGAGGCAGTGGTACAATGAGCCACTAAAGTGAAACCAAACTGTACAAGCAATCAAGTAAGTAAGGTCATAGGCAACCCTCAGTAAAACTGCCACATTGCACATGTCTTAATGAAGTTTGAATGTTAAATAAATTGTATATTCACTTTTAAAAAAAAAGGTCATAGGCATACATTCTATGAAAACAGAAGGAAGAAAAAAATACAAAGGTTAAGAAACACAGCAAATCAAAAACCAGTTTCTGAGTCTGTAAGACTGTCAGTTAAGAAGACTTCCAGATGCAAGGCTTTAGCTGTAATGAAAGCAAGCAGTGCCAATCTGACAGATTCTTTTTGCCTGCAGTTTGAACATCTCTGGTGATGCCATCAGGTGCTGAGGTAAATTCTGTATGACGTACACAGACACAGCCTTAGGAAAAATGATTTAGTTATAAATAATTCCTAGGCCAAAGATGGGAGGGAAAAAATAAAACATTGGTTTGGCGGTTTGAGGAAAACTAGAATTTAGGAACCAGTGCAGTTTGCAGGTGACAAACAAAACTTTCAAGACAATTAACTGAACCAGAATTCAATATCCACAACTGGACATTGTGATTTCTGCTGAAACACAGTTTCCCAAACAGAGTCAAAGTTGGGAGACAGATAAATATGTCCAAAAGAAAGAAAAATAAATCCCCAGGCAAAAAAATAAATAAATGGAATGAAAGCAACCAAAATACCAGATGCAGAGCTTAAAACAATGGTTATAAAGAAGCTCAAGGATCTTAGGGGAAGAATGGATGATATCAGTGAAAACTTAAAGAGATGTTAAACATTAAAATGGACATAGAAGCCATAAAAAAAATCAGAAATGAATACAATATCTGAAATAAAGAATATACTAGAAGGAATCAAAAGCAGGTTAGATGGAGCAAAGAATTGAATCGCCGGTATAGAGGACAAGATAATAGTAAACACCCAAGCAAGGCATCAAAAAGAAAAGAGAGTATTTAAAGATGAGGAAAGTCCAAGGGACCTCTGGGACAACATTGAGAGTAATAACATTCATTTCATATGGGTACCAGAAGGAAAAGAGAATGAGCAAGGGATAGAGAAACTGTTTGAAGATATAATGGCTGAGCCCTGGCTGGTGTGACTCAGTGTTACACCAGCCTGTGAACTGAAAGGTTGCTGAGTTTGATTTCCCATCAGGACACATGCCTGGGTTGCAGACCATGTATCCAAGTGAGGGCATGTGAAAGGCAACCTCTTGTACATTGATGATTCTTTCCCTCTCTTTCTTCCTCCCTTCCTATCTTTCTAAAATAAAAAATTAAAATCTTGGAAGGAAGGAAGGAAGGAAGGAAGAAAACTTCCCTAACCTGGTGGAAAAAAAGCTACATAAGTTCCAGAAGAACAGAGAGTCCCAATCAAGATGAACCCAAAAAGGCCCACACCGAGACACATTATAATTAAAATGGCAAAGAGTAAAGACAAAGAGAATCTTAAAGGTATCAAGAGAGAGAAAGTTAGTTAC